AAGAGATTAGGACTTGTTCTCCACTATAAAAGAAGAGGAGAAGACACATTAAGGGATCCATCCATCAATCCAAAAATCTCTCTTCCATCAATTCTATGTCTGTCTCTCACGGCAGTTTTTAGGGTTTTAAAGAAGAAGATCCAAAAGGAGTTTTGGCAGTCCATGGCGATGAAGACCACAACAACACAGATGATATCTTGCATCATCATGAGTAGCTAATTCCTCTCTTAAGGCGTTGATGTAGCCCGAATCTCAATATTATGGTTTGATTGTTCTATACTTTGGGAATTTAATATATTATATATTTTGATTGCATGATTATGGGCAATTGATTGAATTCAATTGGTTTTTGATTACATAATTTTTGAATAATTAATACCTTGTCTTAGTTTAATTTATTCTTAAATTATATTCAACTCATTCTTATTGATGGTATTTGGTGGAGGCCTATCGGACATAAGAATGGATATCATGCAATGGTGTTCAAACGTTTTTCATCAATGAATGTTTTCATAGTCTATGCCTAAGGCAGACGAGCTATACTGCAAAATTAGTTAGAAATAGGTAAGTAGATAATTCGTGCCAACCGAAGATAGGTTATTATTAATTGAAATTCATGAAACATCTTTCTTTAAATGTTATTGAGTTTAATTCCATATGATACATAATTATTGAAACCCCAAAGCTGAACAGTTGACCAAAATAGGCGGATTGTGGTGAAGTCAATCCCTAAGTATTTCTTCTCTTGATCTTAATTATTTTATTCTGTTTATTTTATTTTATATTATTGAATTGCATCACAACACAACAAATCAAATCTTCCTTCTAAATTAAAATAGCAATTAATTGAAGACTCAATAAACCACCACAGTTCTTAAGGTTCGACATCCTCAATATAGCCCTATCTTACAAGGATTCGTTCTATTGCGAGTGGTATTTTATTATTGGTAAATAAAAACACACATCAATAAGTCCACTTGACATCGCTTCGATGAACTTTGTAACCAAATTTTCTCCTTTTTCAAGAACGGCACGTAAACTATCATCTAGAAGTTCACTGGCCTGCTCCTCTTCAATCTCGGCAAGATCTTGCAGAGACTTGTCGTGTCTTTTTCCTCCCGCCATGGAAACACTCTGTTCAAAAGGTCCCGTCGGGCGTGCCACTATGTTTGGCCTATTAAAATGGTCGGTTCAGATGGAACCGGATGGGCATGCCAGGAACTAGTTACTACTGTAGTTCCAAAGAAAGATCCAAAAAATATTATAGAAGGAAGATTGCAAGACCAGGTGATTATGAAAAGGTCTGCAATGAACACCTCTGGGTTCTTTTTTCCTTTGAAAAAAGACTTCGGGACTGCTACTTAGCTAGAAAGAAATAAGCTACTTTTGTAAGTAAATGATTTGAATGTAAAATATTCTACTGTAAAGCAATGAAATGCCAGACTTAAGCTAAACATGTTGAAAGTGCATTGCAATGAAAATAAAGATTGTATTGAAATGTTGCTGTAATTATGTTGTGTGTTTGAAAAGGCCTTCTATGTTACAACATAATGCCCTATTTATAAAATTTATGAAATAGCAGTTAACAGAATAGTTTTATGCAATTCCATTGTTGTCTTCAAATGCTTCCAAGTGGATTGGATAGACTTGCGCCATTTGTCCCATTATTTTCTTTGATTCTTCTGAAGCTTCCATGTGTCCAAGCCATGCAATCATGCCTTTGATGTCATATTTCTCAAATGAACTGTGTCAATTTCTTTTGTCTGAGCAACGACCATTATTCCTTCTTTTTCGGATAGTGGTAATAGTGGCCCAAAATTGATAGTGTTCCTTTGACTAGGTCATATCCCTTACATATGGCTTCTCTTGTTGTGTAATCTTAATAACTTTCCCACCCTCAAAGTCCCTATCCTCATGGGTTCTGTTAAATCAGTTATTGAGTTTTGTATAGAACATATCTTCTATAACCACATTCCATGTGTCTTCTTTTAATTGGAGAGGAACCATCAACCACTTCTATTAGAAATTCCCTAAAATTCGCCCTGATTCGAACTCTTTCCACGTGTCTGAAATTGGCTTGATTTGGACTCCTTCCACATGTCAATTTTCTATTGGAAGAAAATAATGGCGTGAAAAAAAAAAAAAAAAGCCCTGGACACATTTTCTTAAGTATAATCAAGAACAGGAAGAATGGCTGGAGAAATAAATTAATCAATTTTATCTTGACTAGAAAATGCTTTTGCTCAGAATGGGATTACCTGCATTTGGCAAATATGTGTTGAAGGTTCCATTAGTGTGATACATTCGGTTACTTTCAACTATCACATGGGTTTGAAGGTTCAGGTTCTAATTGGCATAAATGTGTACTTTCGATCTGTTTGCACCTACTTAAAAAATAAAATAAAAATAAAAAAATAAAAAATTGGCCTGAGTTTGAAGGTTTAGGTCGCTATGGGCACAATTGTGCACTTTGGAGTTTCGATGTGTTTGCTTACGTACCAGAAAAAATAAAAAAAATAATAATATTTTGATTTTGGTTTGACAGTACAATAGTAGTGCCATCCGGTCGGTTACCTTCACCTAGGTTTAGGTAGATAAGAGAACAAATTCAGGTAACAACCGAGTATTGAAGTCGTTGAATTGGAACTTAAGGAGATAGCCTAATAGCCCGATTCTGATCAAAAGTCAAGCAAGCATGGATACGGACAATACGACATGAATAACCACAAGTCAAATCCAAAACAAATAAGACATAAATACAACATTGACATGGCTAATATAAATTATTGATCATATAGTCTTGTTTTATATGAGAAATGTCATTAATTAATACCTGTTACGACATGCATATGGTGTCAATTTTCTCTTACAAGAAAAAAAGTATAGACGCGATTGTTGTATGTTTGTGTTATATAAAACTTGTTGTGTCAGCTAAATGAGCAGAATGTATGTGAAAAGTTTTTTCATTAATAAAAATATTTTTAATTATGGATATGTTCATGAAGTATTGGAAGATACATCATCTTCAAGGATGCTAAAGTGTTCCGTCCATAGGTCTTTTCAAGTAATTAAATAAATAAGGGTCTTGTAACTTAGTGGTATCTTATATACCACCTAATATGGATGGTGAAATCTCTAAAAGGACAAAGTGAATGATATGTGTATTTCTTGTCGATGAAAAAAAAAAAAAAAGAAAGAAAGAAAGACGAAGAAGAAGGAGAAGGTACTTCAATAAATTTTATAGGACTTTCAATTTATTCCATTTAGAGCTGGCAGTAGGTGCGGTCTCGAAATCCAATTCGACACGACTATTGACAGGCTTGCATTAGCAAAGCTTGTGCATAAGTTTGGTTTTGCATTGAGCCGCGCCTCTGGTATAATCATCCATCGTCTTTACTCGTCGTCAGAAGTTCACAACTCCACTTGCTACTGTAATGAGTACATATTGGATGAAAATTTGCAGGATGCCAGCATAAATTTTTTAAGCTCTTATTTTGTATAATCATGATAAATTTAAGAGTTAAGTGCAAAACACTCTCTATAGTGCAGAAAACTCATGTGTGGCATAAAACATCTCTACACCTTTAATTGGTGCAAATACCCCTATTTAGGCTTGAATTGACTATAATGCTCTCATATTAGTAGAATAAAATAATAGTTAAAAATGCAAGCCATGTAATTAAAATGATTGTCTTTTCCAATTTTCATAAAATAATTTAAGGACCAAGCTTGAAAGAGGAAGTGTTTAATTCACAAATAATAATAATAATAATAATTATTATTATTATTATAATGAAATATATTACACACAAAAAGGAATAGCAATTGGTTCTAGTTATGGGAGGGAGGGAGAAAGAGAGCGCATAAAGAGGACGTACAAAACAAGGGTTCGGAGGTCGAGTTTTATACACATAATTAGAGAGAGAGAGAGGCAAAATCAAGTTTTCATATTTATTTTTCGCCAAAAAGTGGTTAGAAGGAAATATTTGCACCCTTTTGAAAAACAGGAGGTCATTGAGCATAAAACCTGTAGTGTAGAGGGTATTTTTTGCACTTAACCATAAATTTAACCACCTTGATTTAAAAACAACCTTTGGGAAGAACATATACTATCACCTTAAAAGTTCAGTTACATGTCTAATATCTCTTAAATGGAAGAAGAAATTAGCTCATAACCCCTCACTCTTTCAAAAACTCAAATCAGCAAGAAGTTGGAAAAATCCTTTTTTCTTTTTTTTTTTCATTCATTGGCAAGAAATACACACTACTTACACGTTCACTTTGCCTATTTGGAGAGTCAACCCTCATTATCCACTTTGAAAGTTTGATAAATACCACTAGGCTACAAGACTCTTGGTGAAAGTTGAAAATATATATATATATATATATATATATATATATATATATATATATATCTTATGCAGTACATTCCGTATCCTTATGTATCGAGCCATGGTCTTGGTGTATCCGGCTCATGTCCTTGTGGTGTTCGTCTACAAAATAATAATAATCATTTAAAAATATGAACACTTTTAGCTATGGCGAACACATGTCCGGCCATGCACCTAGTGTGTCCGTGTCAGACAGCCATGGCACATAAGTGTTCGTCCTTCCTGGGAGTTTGTCAACTACAGTTCACAGTGTGATAGAGCTACAAAAAGGTGATTGCTACAGGGGATGTTGTTGGATTGACCAAGGTAGTTTCGGGCAAAATGAGATGTCCTAGCTTAGATTAATCTTGTAGTTCAGAAAACGAAACATTTAGCAAATTTTCCTTTTGACTCCGTGAGAAGAGAGAGCAAATATGATGGGTAGATATGTTTTTTGGTTTGATACTATTCTTGCGGTTTTTCTAGCTGTTAAAATTGATTTTAATTGTGTTTGTTTATGATTGACAAATGCATACAATATTAAGTACTGTGACAAAAAGATAAGCATAGAAATTACAGAGAGAACATACCTCAAGAACATAAAGACAAAGACAGAAGGATATAACTAGCTTACCAACTTGCACTATTTTGGGCAACACAGACCCAAACTGGCGATGGTACCCAAAAAGAATGCAGTTCAATGAGCTTCCAATCATGTGTACAATAATAAGTGATGGACTTATCTTCTAAGTGGAAGACGCCGTTATCATGACCTGTATTGGGATATATCCCTTCTTCTTCACTATATTCTGTGAAATAAATTGAATTCTCACTAAGCTCTGGATAATCACGGGTGGAGAGAGAGAATGAATGATTATAACCCACAAATAACGCCCTATCATTTAAGCATGCCACAGGTTCCCACTTATTGAGATCGAAATTCAACTTATGAACATCCAATCTCAAGGTCCGGTGAAACATTGGCTTGTCATATAAATCTTCGAATTGATCCTCCTCCGAAACAGACTCCAAAATGAAAAACCTGATAACCAGTAGAAGATCCCCCGAGGATTCCACCAAATGTTTCACAAAATAACAAATTTGTCGATGAGAAGACTGATAGTCTTTCATTTCCTGGATCGTCTGTGGACTAGAGAATGTGGGATCAATGAGTTGATCTTTAGGACAAGAATGATCACTGAGGTCCCAGGCTTCGAGTTGATGAAATTCGTACTCGTTGCCCGGGGAATAAAAGCATCCATCTTTGCTGAATATATATAAGGTCACAACAGTCGTGGCTATCCTCATTGCTCAAGAGAGTCCTTCTCTCATCCACCCCGAGTTTACAGAAATATAAACACCCGCAATAGTTCATCACTGCCGTTGTCGTGCTTTGATCATTATCAAGAGACGATGATGGTGGTGATGACAAAACAACATCTCGTATGAAATGATAATCAACTGTTTGGGAGGGGGGTGAGTTGTACTCTTCCTTTTGCTCCCAGTCGGTCATAAGGAAGTCCCTGACCAGAGGAGTGGAGGGGGAGAGGTTATCTGATTTCAGAACACGCAAGCCCTTCGTGATCGGTAGGGTTTCCAGAGAAGGTAGGGGTATGTATGGAAGACGATTAGAAGAATAGGAGATGAAGGGACTAAATAGATAGATGTAGCAATTACGAGGGTCGAGGAAGACGAGCCAGCCATGAGTGGAGCCAATATAGGCGGCGGCGTCCGGTGTAAGGTACTCCCTTTGCCACCCTAACCCTAGATTCTTTCTCACTCTGAATTTCTTCTGCTCGGCAATGCTGAAGAAGTGAAAAAAAATCATTGTAGTCGTCATCCTCCCCTGCTTTACTCAAGGGTGGTACAATCATCAACGGTGATGACAACAGCGATTGAAACTTTTCTTCATCAACTGTTGGATCAACTGTAGCGGGTGGTGTTGCTGCTGGAGGAGGAGGAAAAAATTATATTTTAGGATTGTATGATTTTATAGAACTAGATCTGATGATAGGAGAAGGTGGTTCAATTCCTTGAAGTTGAAGAGGTAGACGAGGACGAGGACAAAACTCACCCAAAAATCGTTCGGAAGAGAGAAAACAACCACCACCGCCACCATAGGTTTTCTGAAATCTGGCCGGATTCAGCGCAGATAGGTGGCAATACAGCAACCGATCGGCTAAAGGAGGGCAATTAGCTGCCATCGCCTCTTCGTCTGTGTCCCTGATACACAACTACACGACCGTTGTTGTGTTTGCCTGTGTAGGTGTCCAAAATATGTTAGCCCACATAACTTGGTTAAATAGTCAAAGAATTATGCCACATCATCAACAATGACCACATAACTTGGTCAAATAGTCAACAAACTATGCCACATCAGCAATGATGGCCCACAAATCAAATGGTCAACGGTCAAAGATACGTGTCATTTACCACGTTATCAGTATATCTCGAACAGAAGATCGAAGACTAGCAGACCTGAGTTAGGAGCAGGACTCAGGATTACTTGGGATCCGAGGTGGACTGAGAGAGGTGGAAGCACAGCCAAACTCGAGAGAGAGAGGGTGAAGATGGCAGTGTCATCGTAGACCATTGACTCCCTTGATAAAGGTGTATGGAGAAAACATAAAGGTTATTTTCTCCTCTCTTGTTGCTCTACCTTTACTTGGTCTTGGAACACATCCTTATATAGGCCAAGTAAGAGGTTGGGTGATGTCATATGACATCATATGTGGGGCCCATTAACATTATAAAATAATGTTAATTAAGATGGGTCCAGAATGTATGGGAGTCAAAATGGTATATCTCTCTGTGAGTCAGGTCGAGTGTTAATTCAACGAGCCCTGAACTTCATCCACCAAACCAAAAACCTCCTCGGATCCCAAGTAATCCCGAGTCCTGCTCCCAACTCAGGTCTTCTAGTCTTCAATCTTCTGTTCGAGGTATACTGATAACGTGGTAAATGGCACGTATCTTTGACCGTTGACCGTTTGATTTGTGGGCCATCGTTGCTGATGTGGCATAGTCTGTTGACTATTTAACCAAGCTATGTGGTCATTGTTGATGATGTGGCATAATTCTTTGACTATTTGACCAAGTTATGTGGGCCTTGTGGGCTAACATATTTTGGACACCTACAGCCTGCTAACAAAATTCTGCACGCATTTGCCCTACCATCTCTATGAATTTAACTAGTATTTTATATACACACCAAACACACTCCAATTTTGAGGTACATGCCCCGATACAAGGTAGGGCTACAAGTTGGACTGACCCAACCCAACGTAGTCCCAACCCAACCTCAACCCAAATCGGGTTGGGTTGAACCAGCCCGAATTATACCCAACATGGGGTTGTGGTCATAAACTAGATTGAATATTTTCAAGCGGGTTAGGTCGGGTTGACGGGTTGAGTTTTTTTTATATATAATTTTTTTTTTTAGGTAATTTATATATATTATATATATGTATATTATATATATTTAATTATATTATTATTAAAAATATCTATTTTTTTAAGGCAGATCATTTCAGCCTCCCCAATCACCTCCATCTCTATTCTCATTCTCAACTCTGAAATTGCCCCCCCCCCCCCCCTTTCTCTCTGTGTGCAACTGCAAACTACAAAATCAACAAGAATCAGAAGTTCAAAACCCATATATTTCAGTTTATCTATCTATCTGCAAGAATTAAAAGTTCAAAACCTATTACCTATATCAAAACCCATATCGGCATATCATTTCAAATTGTTCAAAAAATTAAAACCCATATCTTTCAGTTTCCATCGCCCGCTGTTCCAGTTCGGGTTCGCCGTTCGCAAGCTTCAGCCGCTGTCTCTCAACTCTCAAGCTTGCCCCCGTCTCTCTCGCTGCAACTGCTAACTTGTATGTATGGGTTTTATTTTAATTTTTGGAAGTGACTGCGATGGCAGAGGCAGAGGGATGGCGGCAAAGGGGACGGAGGTAGAGAGAGAAAGAGAAAGAAGATAGAGGAGAGAGAAAGGAGATTTTTTTATTTTTATTTTTTTTTTTTATTTTTTTTATTTTGAGTTTTGGGTTGGGTTTGGGTTGAGCCCGTGCCTAACCCGAATATGTCTGAATTTTGACAAAACTTATCCCGAACATGAACCTGATTTGTGAATTTTAAGCTCCAATTTTAAAATTTTTAGCTTGGGGTTGGGTTGGGCTGGGTTAGTCCACCCAAATTGCAGCCCTAATACAAGGTAACCTTAATCACTTTATAGTTTACAAGATAAATATAATAAATATTACAATAAATGATATTAACTCTCCTCTTCAAATGAGAGGGCTTAGTCTTTAAGGCATTATTATTAATTTTTTTTTTAGGTCAACTTCATATATAAAAGTAATGTAAATATACAAGCTCATAAATGGGATAAAAAGAAAATAAAATGGATTAAGCCCAGCTAATCAACAATCATCTGCTTACCCACAAAAGGGGGAGCCCAGCCCATTAGAAAACCCACCCATTCATTCAAAAAACATATCTGTTGTAGCAATGCTACATTCAGGCAATATGAGTTGGAACAGAGTTCCTCCTCAAGTATTCAAATCTTGTGGTTTTGATGGAGGGCGAATAATAGAGTGAGGAAGTTCCCATTCACTGGCAAGGCATCTGGTTGATGGAGAGTCAAAGAGAGAGCATGTCATCAACTTTAGCTCGACTGGTTCAAGAGCTTTTAGCAAAACAGAGTTGGCAGTGAGGTATTTCTTCTTGAAGATTCTTCTACTCTTTTCGTTCCATATATTGTAGACAGGGGAGGCAAGTGCAAGCTTTGATGCTGATTTGCAATGATCATGTGTTTTTTTTTTTAATTTCTTCTTTTCAAAATATTCCCCTTTTGCAAGAGTTGGTCAGGAACTATTACAAAAGAAACCCTTTAAGAAAGATGTACTTATATGGTGGGTAAACCTTGTGACACTCTTCCCTTGGGGCTATTTGTAAGATATTTTCTTATATTTGTGACCCATATAATTTGGACACGCGATTTACTTCTATTATTTGATGGTTAAATAAAATAAATATTAGATTAATATTATATTATTTAGTAAACTTATAAATTACCTTTACGGTAATTAATTATTGGAGAAGTGTTTTTCTATTTATTCTTTACTTTAATCGAAAGTGGAATTAAGGTTACTAAAAAGGAAAATTGATCATCTCTCTGCCTTTATAAAAGTGTATTTATCCCATCAGTTATGTACATTAATGAAACAACACGCATAATATTTATATGTGCAAAAGGCCAAGAGAGAGAAATCGGTCTCCAAGTTTTGGCTATTGCAGTTTATCACGTTGTTTGTTCCGCAGAAAAAATCTCGACGTTGGACTTGATCTCTACGATATTTGCAATCACAGATCAAGGTATTTATATCTAACTATATTAATTTATGCATTATAAGTATGTGAGAATAATGAAGTTCTAAGATTTGGAATTCATATTTATTTGTGATTAATGATTTGCACGAATAATTAAAATTTACATGTGATATCAAAGCTCATGGTTTAGGAACTCATTGTTTCCCATTAATGTTGCATAAATAATATTTTCAATTTAATCCGATTGCATGTCTAATCTTTCGTGTCTAAATGCATATAAATATATTCGAATATGCTGCTATATTTGATCTGATCGAGAGTAATAAACGTGGCCCACCATTGATTAATTGATATGCCTTTTGAGTCCTTTTATAAATAATTATTCTATAGTAATTTTATTTTGATCAGTTTGTGTGAACATGATTATATTACTTGAAAGTTAATTATTAAAAGCATGTATGCATATCTATAATAATTCATCAAGACGCATAATTAATGTGTACAGACAAACGGGTGCAAGATATGTTTCATGAATTGATTTATTTTATTATAGAAATTTAAATTTCTAAAATAACATGAGTTTAGAAATTTAATTTAATCATATTATTGGACAAGCAAATAAATTATTATTTTTGTACTCATACATACATACATGATGGAGAGTCAATTTTAGATTGATTCAATTATGATCTTCAAGTCTGAAAGTAAAAATAATATATTTTATTATGTATATAAAATAAAAGGATATTTTTATTGTATTTTCGGACTATTAAGTTTTTGGAATCAAACTTATCTAAACTTGGATCGATCAGTATAAGTATGTGTGTATAATGTTTAATGGGTAAATTAATGATAAATTAATAACTAGCTAATTTAATATTCATGTTATGTGAGGGTTAGTAGCTACCAAAGTGGTCTAACCATAATAATTGATGAATATTAATTTTAGTAGTAAATATAATTAAAGAT